ACGGTTTATTTTTCGGAGGAAGATCTATCAACTCTCAAGTGTAGTTTTGCATGATGGATTCAATTTCACTATTTATAATTTTTTTTTCCAAAAATGCGTTGCAGGAGTGGACATTGATTCCTTAAAACTTTGAGACTCATTTTTTAACAAATATGATAAATAATCATGACCATCGTACTTAGAAGTTCTTGCCCTCTTACTATGTCTAGGTTTCTCGTCACTTTCTTCATCTATAGACTTATGGTCTATATTGCTAGTTGCAGTTTCATGAGTACTTTTAAGAGAGCTCTCATTGCGTGCATTATTATAAAGAAATACACTTTCAAAGAATGATGCATTTCTAGATTCAATAATAGTATTGGTATGTATATTAAGAATATCATATTTATTCATGAGTTCTTTTAAGAGAAGCCGATTGATACCCACCAACTCATCAAGCACTTTCTTAAGCCGATTCGCCAAAATTTTTGAGATTTTCTTTATGAGCACGTTGCATAATAAAATAGATATGAACTCAAAAACCCTCAAGTTATCCACCTTATGGACCAACTCAAAGAAAGTTGAGTTAACCTATTTTAACAGTTTTTCACTTTGAAAGAAGTTCGATACAACTTTGCACACATCATATTTGATGATTCCTCAACAAACTTGAAAAAGTTGGGCATTGAATCCATCTAGACCCGGGGCTTTATCCGGGTCACATGCATTATTATAAGGAAATATATTTTCAAAGGATAATGTATTTTTAGATTCAATAATGGTATTGACATGTATATCAAGAATATCATATTTATGCAAAAAAAATGATGTGCACTACTATTAATTGCATAACCAATTAATATACAATCAATAGACTTAGACACTATTTTATCCTTTTAGGACTAAGAACTATCACATTAGCCAAACATCCATACACTTTTAAATATTTGTAGAAAAAGATTCCAATCTTTTGGGATTTGTCTATTTTCTTGTGGGATAATTTATTTAGAATATAGTTAGTTAAAAGTAAAACTTCCCCCTACAAGTTTTGAGGTTGTCCCGAACTAATCAACATGACATTCATCATCTATTTCAATGATCTATTTTTAAGTTCAGCAATCTCATTTTGCTGAGGTGTATAAGGTGCCGAAGTTTGGTGAATAATTCCATGTTCTTGACAGAACCTATCAAAAGATGCATTATATTTACCACCTCGATCACTTCTTATTATCTTAATATTTTTGTTAAGTTGATTCTCAACCTCATTCTTAAAAACGCATAAATTTTTATAATGTTTTATCTTTACTTCTTAGAGCATCTCCAACCTTGACTCAAAATTAGATTCAAATTTAAATTTGAGTAAAAAAATTTAAAAAACTTACTCCAACTCTTACTCAAACTTATATTAAATCAAGAGAGACTCTTTTTTTTACTCAAATTAAGGGAGACTCAAATTCTTATCCAAATCTTTAATGATAAAATTTCACCCTCGTTAAAAGATTCAATGGTCATCATTACTCTCATTTTATTTTGGGTTTGACCTCATTTAAATTTGAGTTTTTCCTTTTTTAAATTTGAATTTGTTCATTGGAGTCTTCTGTATCAAATTAAGCTTTTTATTCAAATACTAACTTAAATTTGAATAAAAATTTGAGTCATGGTTGGAGATGCTCTTAGCAAATATACATAATAATATCTTGTGCAATCATCAGTAAAAGTAACAAAGTAATTCTTTGCACCACTAAATTGAATATATTTCAAATCACATGTGTCACTATGAATTAATTCTAGAGATTCAACACTTCTTTTAATATGGAATGATGCTTTAGTTAATTTTGATCCTACACATGTCTCACATTTATGATTTGCATCAATATTAAATTTAGACAACAATTCTAAATTCATTAATCTACGCAAAGTATCAAAATTAACATGCTTAGTCTACCATGTCATATATTATAATGAATTTTGATCCTACATATGTCTCACATTTATGATTTGCATCAATATTGAATTTAGACAACAATTCTAAATTCATTAATCTACGCAAAGTGTCAAAATTAACATGTCTAGTCTACCATGTCATATATTATAAGACTCAAGCATATAAACAGAAGATATATTTTTATTATTATTAAAAGCAAGTATAATTGTCATTATATTTATCTTAAAGAGTTCTTATGTTCAAATATCACTTGCCTACATAAATTTCACATTTAGTGAGTATAAATTTGTCAGACTTAAAAATCAAATTAAATTCCTTCTTACTCAAAAATGATCTAGACACAAGATTTTTTCTAATTTATAGACAAATCATTAAGAGTTAGTTCCTTCCTAGAAGTTATCTTCAATATAACTTTTCATTTACATTCAACTTTGGAAGTAGAAGAATTTTTCATGAATAGTTGTTCTCCATAATTAATAGTTTCATATGAAGGAATATCTTTTTATCCAAACATATGTACCAAGTGACCTAGTGTCCACCTACCATTCCTTGGTATTTCGTACCAAGTTCACTTTGGATATTGCAATAGAAAAACTCATATTGAGACATTTTCAAAAAAAATTTAAATCTCAGTTATATTGGCTTGAATATGTTTTTTCTAACAGTTCTCTTGTGTTTTACGATGCTTTGGTTTGTTGCACACAAAATAGTTATTTTTGAATCTTTTAAAATCACCAACCTTTGTCCGTTATTGGCCAACATTCCTTCTTTTTTTGTTGATTTTATGTCTCTCTTCAATCAGAGGTGTTTTTGGCTCTATGGAATGATTATCAACTTTATATTCAAAAACTCTATTATCCTCCTCAATCTTCAATTTCACAATCAAGTTTTATTTCTTTGCATTTGTGCTTCAAATAATTCTTGAAGTCCTTTCAATGTGGTGGTAATTTTTCAATAATTGTAGTCACTTGAAAAGATTCACTAAGCACCATCAATTCGGCATGAATTTCATGTAGAATCACTTGAAGATCTTGAAATTATGATAGTGTTGAAATATCCCATTAAACTTTTTAGGTTTGTTTTTCTTCATGAGTTACATAAATAGGCACCACAAAATTTGTAGTAGTAGAGACATTTTTCTCATTGTAGTCATTTCTGATATACAAAATTATAAAATATTCAAAAATAGAAAAACGATAACACCTTAAAACAAGTTACTAAAATAGAGACAATATTACTGTTTTTATGTTACTGTTCAATGTTATTGTAACTGCATAATGTTACTGTTACCATCTTATATTATTGTTTTTGTGTTATTGTTTCAGATAAACATATAAAACACATAAATAGAACATATATTTTTTCGTAAAATATTTCAAATATCACCAAAGTACTACAGATTGTAAAACTCTAGTTTTTAAAAATTGCAGTATTTAAACAATTTGAAATACTAATACCACGAGCTTAAAACACAATAAGTAATTATATAAAAACTTTGTTTTAAGATTGTTGGTGTGGATTCTCCAATATGACAAATTACTTATTGAAATTCTAGAATGATATTAAACTTAGAAATATATATATATATATATATATATATCTTTTTTGCAATTAAGAGCAAAGTACTAACATGTAAGAATAAATAATAACATGTGAATCTACAATAAATAAACTACCCCGTTTGTAGACCAAGAATGAAAATTGAACTTTATGTAGATCAAAGCTAGTGTCTATGTTCTTAAGATAAATTTTGCTCCCACACTGGTGTTTATGAAAATTTCAACGTCTGTCTCTCAAGATATAATGATCTTTCTGCAATTGAAAGTAACACTCTCATTCAATTACTCAGCGAACTAGAATCGTGTTGTGTACTCTCAAAACATACAGACTGTTAATACAAAAATTATGAATATAATGACTACCTTAATTCATAATGTTGTTAGTGCAGAATGCTAATGAATTTGCATTATTTATAGGCAGAATGATTATTTTGAACAACCACTATGCTAACTGATGCAATCCAAAGACACCATTGATGTCTGCCTAATGAATAGACACAAAATTCAAAAATTTGGACTGGAGGAAAAACTCAAATTCAAACTAGTGCAAATTTTGGATTTTGACGGGCAGAAATTAAAAATCGATTTAAGAATTTTGAACCCAATTCACAAATGAATTTTCTCAAAGAAAACAAGGTTGGGTCTAAACCACACCACACACCCACACTCGGTCGGGTCGGGTCGGGTCGTGGCTAACGTTGCGCGCATGTGGTAATCAATTTTGTGTAAGCACTTGTTAGCTCACAAAAGTGTGATACCCTTTGGGACCCAACTCACAGTATAAACTTGAAAGATATATGCATATGTAAAGTTTTTTGACCAACCAATGTGAGATTGGTGTTAAATCTCATATTGTCCCAATATCTATTTTTACATTGTAAGAGGGTCACGTTGAAATTTATTTTCTCATTTACCTCTTATTCGATTTGAGTAAGTGAATATACTACGTTATTCTTCTCACAGTGTAAAACACGTACCCACAAAAATTTATTTAAAACAATGACCGTACCCCACTTTAATTTAAACTCAAAATAGACCAAAAATTTCTTTTTCACACATAAAAAATTGTTTTGGTCCAACCACGGACTGTGTTAAGCATAAGTATCATTTCAGACAATTCTCACCTTACAGTTATGTGAAAAGATCTCAGTATGGGTGTGGTATTTGAAACGAATATTATATTAGGAGGGAATTCAAAGTGGTGTAAGATAATAGAATGAGTTTCTGTAATAAAATAGTATTCTATCAGAATTGTGACTTAATTTTTTTTTAAATTTAAATATTTAATGAAAAATTAAAGACAAACTATGAATTCTCTCTTTGCGATTTGATCTATTACCTCTTTATACTTTAAAAACTTAGGCATAACATATCGCATTACAGGCAGATATGGATGAAATTTTATCAAAAAAAAAAAAAACAAGTGGATATTCTCAAATCCTTCCCTGGGAATCAATAGAGGTGAAATTAAATGGACCATAAACCTTAACCCTCAGTTACTGGCCCTTGAAGTAACCGCTCTGCTAATAGTCTCTCTCTCTCTCTCACACACACACCCACCCCCACACACAGACTTAATTCAACGATTCTGGTACTGTTATTTAGGAATCAGATCACGAAGTTTCGCCGGTCGATCCCTAAAATTCGAATCTTCGCAGCCGCATTCGTTCGATTCAATTCTTTTTCTTCTTCAGTTGAACATATGGAGAACAGCTCTCCATATAGGGACGGCTTGCCGACGACGTCGTCCTCGGCCTCGTTGAAATCAGAGAGACGATCCAAATCGAAGTCTATTCAAACGTCTAAACCCTCCCTTATCATGGCCTTCTTCTCTTGCGTCGCTTGGCTCTACGTCGCCGGCCGGTTGGTTATCGATATAGATAAACGCATATAATCTATATGGGTTTGTGTTTGTTTTTATTTGTGGCTGTATAATGTGACACTAAATTTTTTTTGGGTTTATGTTTGATTTGGTAATTAGGTTGTGGCAAGACGCTGAGAACAGAACGTTACTTGCTAATCTTCTTAAGAAGAATTGGGGCCAGGTGTGTCTTTTTGATTTTTTTCTTAGACATTGTTTGCTTGCTGCGAAAATGTAGGAATGTAGAGCACAGTAATAGTAAATAGTTAAACGTGTTTATGTTTATTTAAGTTCGTAATCGGTTTACTGTTTTCTGAAATAGAGAAAATGAAGGAGATCTGACAGGGGTAATTAACAATTTCAAGACAAGAAGCAGGAAAAAAGAGTTAACTGTAGCGAGGTTGACTGGGAGGGGAGAATGACATTGGCCCTTGAAATTAACTCACAGAAATTTGTAGAATGGTAGTTGGTATATTCACACAAAAAATTGACTCATGGAAAGACATGCATCACCCACACTTACATGAATAACAGCAGAACTATAACACAGCTGCATCATTAGAAACATTACTGAATTCAGCAGCCAGCCCATTTTCATTTATAGCTTACAACAACCTGCATACACATGCCACTCACACACAACAACAAACCCATTTCAGCAACCTATTACAAACCTGGAAAATAACCATGTTTCCTTGAGTGGATCAACGTTCATATTGGATGGTGCATTGTTGAAAACTGACCAATTCCTGGGGAAGTACTTCTTGTTTTAATTTTTAGGATGACTGCATTTGTCTCTAGAAATTCGGAACTATGAATCAGGATATTATGTTTTTTGAGCATTTGTTTTTTTTTCGGAAGGTGAGCATTTGTTTTAATTCTGAGTGAAAGGACAAATACTTAACTCAATATAAATATTATCTCAACTATTGGGGTCAGATTCATGAATCCTATTTAGTCATAGTGCTTTCTTTTTTAGGGTGTCCTTAGGTTATGTTATATATAAGAAATAAAGCATCATTCTTGTGTTCTCACTAATATGATGAAAATCTCTAGTTTTTCCCCCTATATAAGTGAGGGTATATATACTTTTCTCCGCATTGTTTGTTTCTTGCTTCAAATAAAGGTCATCATATGATTTTTATTTAGCTTCTCTTACTGCATTTGTTGTCCCTCCAAAACACTTTAAAATGACTTTAATTTCATTTTTTGTTTGCATTTTCTTGACACTTGTTAGAGACCGAAGGTTCTTACAGTTGAAGATAAGCTAATGGTCCTTGGATGCAAGTATGTTTCTCCATATCCTTCTGTTATTTCTGGTCTTGCATGGCACTTATATAGATTGATTCTGTAGTGTCAACATCCACAATAGGAGATGATTGTGTGAATTGGTGTTAAAGATTATTGTTTTTCAGGGATTTGGAGAGGAGAATAGTGGAAGCTGAGATGGAGTTAACGATGGCGAAGAGTCAAGGTTACCTCAAGAACCAGTTGCATCAAAGTGGGTCCTCTTCTGGCAGAAAGCTTCTTGCTGTTATTGGAGTTTATACTGGATTTGGGAGTCGGTTAAAGCGAAACGTGTTTAGGGGCTCTTGGATGCCGAAAGGTCAGTTCAAAGCTTTTTTGATTGTGGATAATGTCTTCTTTACTCTCTCTCTCTCTCTCTCTCTCTCACTCATTTGATTTGTTTTGGGGTTAGTTAGTGCCAACTGTAGAATAATGTACTCAATTCATTACATATGTTCCATGGCATTCCGCTTCAAATTCTAAACCAATCTCTTCTTTTGTAGATATATTGCTTTGTTTATTTGGTGATGTAGCTCGACAGGGAGAGTGTGTATTTATTTTGCTTTTTTTGATTTGGCAATGTAGCTAAATGGTGAGTTGTCCATTAGAATGTGTATTTATATCATAAGAAGGTCATTGATTTTATACTACTGTGATATATAAGAAAGTTTGCTGTTTTCTTGCATTCATTAATTTCGGCAGCCTTTACCAAGATTTGCTTAGTGAATGATTCTCCTTTAAGTACTATATCGTTGTTTTGATGAGTGCCGTTACCCGTTCCTGTAAAAGGATGATTAATCATCTTCTTGACTTCAAAGTTGACGTTTTTGTTACTGTTTTAGTAAACACATTCTCGATCTCTTTTCATTTAAAAGCGGTTGTCCACAGTACTTAAAAGTCTTTTTGGACATGTGGTTGTTCTGACATGCTTGTTAGAAGTCAAATTGTCAGCTCAATCTTGTATTAGCAGATTTAAAGGGTAAATAATTGAGAATAATCAATTAACTAATGGGAGACAGATGCAAATAAAATAATTAGCTCATTTATAGTCTTGATTAAGATATTTTCTTTTCATTTGTTGCTTAGCTTCCACTGTCCTCTTTGGAATAGAGTGGATGGTAGGTAATGAGATTCTAGCCTGGCATTTATCAGTTTTGTACACACTTTTCCTTGATTTTTGCAGGTGATGCTTTGACAAAACTTGAAGAAAGAGGTGTTGTCATACGCTTTGTAATTGGTCGGAGGTTTTCCCACACACTCAAAACTATGTTTTCTTTAAGCACTATGAATGTTATACCATGTTTAGTTGAACTTATTTACTGGACACAAATTTCATTGTAAGTCCTTCAGTTTGGAATTTGCAGTGCTAATCGAGGTGACAGCTTGGATCGTAATATTGATGAGGAAAATCACATGACAAAGGATTTCTTGATTCTTGTAAGTCATCTAAAGTTTTGTAGTCATTATGACTGAACTTCTATTTCTGATCAAAAATGGAGATAGATCTCTTTTCTTTTCTTTTCTTCGGTGATTATAGTATTTTTTTTTTCAAGAATTAAAGTATTGATTTTGAGGGATGTATATTGATTATTACAGTTTCCAAGTTCTGTAGGTTATTATTTTTCTTTTAGTCAGGGGGTTTTCTCAGACATGCAAAGTGTGTATCATCTAAACACCTATTGTTAACCATTAGGATGGTCATGAGGAGGCCCAAGAGGAGTTTCCAAAGAAAGCTAAATTCTTCTTTAGTACAGCAGTCCAAAATTGGGATGCAGAGTTTTATGTAAAAGTTGATGACAGCATTGACCTTGACCTTGGTAAAATTTACATATATTTTGTATCACACATTACTTTCTGGTCATTTGTAATAGCTTTTGTAGAAATATTATCTATGCTGTTTTGTTCCTGTCAGATGGGTTAATTGAACTTCTCCAAAGCCGCCGTGGTCAAGATAGTGCTTATATTGGATGCATGAAGTCTGGAGTAGTGATTGCTGAAGAGTAATGCTCTTATCTTACCGTATTCTTTCCTTTTAAACTATTTCTTCTTGTTTCTTTTTCAGCTCATGTTTCAGATGTATATTCCTGAAGAGTAATGCACCCATCAAATGTTAGATATTCACACTTCATTGCCTCTTTTCGGTCATTCATCAACCCAATGTCCATGATATGTTCCTTTTGTGGTTTCAACAGTTCATAGTGTCTTTTCTCTGGGTACAATAATACTGTAATAATAAGTAGATATTTCTCACGGTGCTAGACACTCATTCCACAAAATATACCAGAGCTATTTGGAAAGAAATATATAAAGTGTGTATTCTAGAATATCAAGACCGCTTCCGTTATGTTATGTTGCAGCTGCCCCCCTGTCATCAGTGTTCAATAGTGCATACAATGTATTATAACTGGCTTGAGATTTTGTCTTTAGAGTGTTTGAATCAAAAAGCAAATTTAATATAGCGTTTTTTGATTCAGATTTGAGTATTGAAACCTGTTATATTTTCAGGGGAAGGCCATGGTATGAACCTGATTGGTGGAAGTTTGGAGATGAGAAATCGTAAGTAACTAGCTGATGGATGAAAATACCATTGAATATATACTGGTCACATTTTGGCAATCATTAATTTGTGGATCTTATCAGAATTTATGCGTTTGTTTGCAACTTATTTTGTGGTGTTTTCTTAATTATGTTCTCATCTTTATTGCAATTTAAATTTCCCAACTCTTTTAATTTCCAAAAAGATGGGATGGGAAACAAATTTGGAATTTTAAATTCTATTCTCTGCATTTGAAAATTTGAACATTAATGATTTGACTGAAAATTACATCAGTAGTTAATGTACCTTTCCATGATCACCTGATTGAGCACCCAACCCTCCCACGTTCCCACAACCCAAAATTATGAAGGCGGTTTGATAACAATCTTGAAGCCATATCTCCTGTATGGCAATGAAGCTCTGGCGTTACTCAATCAAACCTCACTCTTCCCAAATAATTAAACTCATTGGAAAGCAATGACTTCCTTGACACAGTGTCTGGTTATCAACCTTAGTTCCCAACTTAGCGGTTGGAGTTAAATCGTACATACGTACCTGGTCTGCATTTTGGCTGTCTGCCAGGTCAATTACTAATATAAGTTATTAGCATTTCAATCAGGAAAATGGAAGTTATATGTAAAATTGCTTGTTAGCTATCACACAGGCTACTCAGTTTCTGGATCACATTCTCATGTTTGGTGTGGCTTGGCTCGTTTGTGTACTCTGTCTCTGTGCTTGAATTGAGCTCAGGCTAATCCCAAAAACTCGTCTAGTTACACTTGAATCCACAATCTCTCCATTAGAAGTCAAATGACTATCAGCAAAGATGTTGCTTGTTTTTCCCACCTCGAAATGTCAGGAAATTAGTTATCTGCTTTCATGTATCTTACCATACATGAATTGAGCTTGAGCCCACCGAGCTGAGTTTCATTGCTCAAGCTGGCCCTTGAACATTAACTGAGGTAAAAAAATTTGTCACTTTCAGTTTCTCTAATATGAATGAGCATGAATGAGCCAAAACTGAGTTGAGCTCAGTTTGTTTTTTAGCCCATGGAGACCAGCAATTTATGGTAGGTGAAAACATTTGTCATCATTCATATAGTTGAAATACTGAGAATTGTTTATGGCTTTGCTGAGAAAAAATTTGTCATCATTCATTTTTACATGCTGAATTATAATCTTTCTTTCAGGTACTTTCGGCATGCAGCTGGCTCAGTTTTCATACTTTCGAAAAATTTGGCTCAGTACATTCACATTAACAGGTTACTTATCAATACCACAGACTTGGAAAGAAGAATTTCATTTGGATATGGTCGGTTTTAAGCTGTGAAATTATTAATAAGCTTCGGTTGTATTCTGCTTTTTTTATTGAAGTATCTTATTCTGAACCTTTTTTTTTATAAAAAAAAAGGCCAAAGAAAAACTTAGAAGTATGCAGATTTATTGGTAAATTGCATATTTGTTTGTTCGCTTCCAATTCAACTGAAATTGGCAAATTTCATTGCTATGTATATGAGTTTCCTTTTTGTCTAATGTTTCTTGCCATGCAGTGCATCTTTGAAAACTTATGCTCATGATGATATATCAGTGGGGTCCTGGATGATGGGTCTCCAAGCAACATATACAGATGAGAATCGTCTGTGCTGTAGTAATGACAGACAAGGTAAATATGCTTCCATGGTATTACTTTGACAGTTGATATCCTGTGGGTGCTACCTAGCATCTTTGTCCTTGTCTATCTTATGATATATGTCTCCTTTTGGCACAACTGAGAGGTATGATGCTTGAAAATTTTATCACCTACTGTTCGATCTTGTCTATATTAGACATAATGCAGTATCTAAACAGTTTACTCTTATATCACAAAAGAAACATAGGAAAAAGAAACAAACTATGTGATATACTTGAGAACCACTTCCCTGAAGAAAAAAAGAAGCTCTGCACTAATAGGCTAACCCCACCAGGCAATGAGAAGAATGCAAATTGTGGGTCAAATTTCCTTCATTTTCTATTGTTTGGGGTCCTTAACTGTTTGTTATGAATGATCTGAGTGGGGTTTAGTTTCTTCATTACTGATTTGACCCATATTGGTCTGCCAAACTGTTTCTTGTATTAACTGTTGGAAGTTTGTCTTTCCCAGACAAGGTATGTTCATTGGCTTGATGAGAGGAGACAGCTGCATTTTTATCGTAGCAGATGCCTCCAACGTCTTGGTGGGCTTGGATTCAGGCATTTGATGAGGGCTTGCTTGAATCGGGACATTGCATGTGGAATATGTGGAGTGCACGGTGGTATCTGATAGCAGTGAGATTTCATCAAACATTAGTAGATCATTCTTTTACATTGACAAATTGGCATCGATTCTTTTATAGGATGAACACAGGTTGACTGAATACCCCCAGATACTGCTACCTTTAGACCAGTGCTGGGTGGATACTTCTGGGCATACTACTCTGACATGGTTCACATTTTTTCTTGTTAATATAAGAACATCTGTTACCTACAGGTTACAGCCATGCAGTCTCTCTCTCTCTCTCTCTCTCTCTCTCTCACTTTTGAGACTTAGTATTGCTGTGCAAAAGGAGAGCATTACTGCTCTCTGTAGCCGAGCTTCACAACTCTTCATGCCAACCACACGCTATTATACCTTGAAACTTGAAAGAGACTGCAAAGCGCTTATAAATCCCCACTGAATGGTGAAAATCGAGTGGTGGAAGCTTCCGAAGTTGGGGAGATTCTTTGTCACCAACTGGATGAATTGTGTTTGCCTGAAAAAATGACGATACAAAGGGTTTGCAGTCAAGGTCTCCACCATTGTACCCCAATGTGCGCGCGCACAAACAAACACAAACACAAACCCAAACACACTTTTCTAACAAATGCTATGTTTTCATAACCGCGCGGGAGCATTTCATTTAGCCCCTGCGGTTTGAAGGAATTGAACGCAACTCCATTTAGCATTGTCCCAAGTGCTTATGTTGGAGAAATGAGAAGTGTGAGACCGTGAAAATGGTTTTGTAGCAATATATCGTGGCAACATGAGAGCCATCAGTGATAAATAAACTTTGATAAAGTAAGCTCTGTTTTTAACGTACTAGTTATTGTCTGTGTTTGAAGGCACAGAATAATAAAAAAAAAATAGTCAACAATAAATATATTTATACTCACGTCTAAACTTAAATTATAAATATAGAGCAAATAAAAGAATTTAAATACTGATTGTAATGGGGGTGAACGATGGTAGTGGTAGTGGTGAGAGACGGTGATGGTTATAGTTGGTGGTGACGATCTTAGTGATGGTGACAGTCATGGGTGACAATGGTAATGTTGGTGGTGAAATTTTGGTGACAATGGTAGTAGTGACAGTTATGAACAATGGTGGTGGTGGTTGTGGGCAACGATAATGGTGGTTGGCAGTGGTGGTGGTGTACGACGACGGTTGTGGGTAGTGATGATGGTGGTAGTGGGCGACGACGAGTGTTTCTGAATGACAGTGTGATGGATTATGGTAAATAGTTGTGGTGGTGGTGGTAAGTAGGGTGGGGGTGGGTGACAATTGGTGGTAAGTTTGATGAGGTGGGTGACATTGATTGGCGGTGATAGTGAGCAATGATGGGGGGTGGTGGGTTGTGATAGTGGGCGGCGATGGGTGGTGGTGAGTAACAATGGTAGTGGTGGGTGTTGATGGTGAACAATGGTAATAATGATAATAAATATAAGAATGAGATGAAAATTATAGTGGGTGGTGGCGGTGAACGACGGTAATAACAATCAATAGTGGGTGTCAATGGTGGTGGGGCAGTGGCGGTGGTGGGGGTGGGATGACAACAGTAACGACAATGATAGTGGTGGTGTTGGCGATAGTGATGGAATGGTTCCACGTACTATTTTTTTAATATATTTATAAGTAGTTATAAATTTTAAAAGTACTTTTAAAAAGTCACCTCAAACATACCCTTAGATATCATCTCAACCGCAAAAAATAAAAATTAATTTGTTTATTTTTTGAGATTTAAATTGTATTGTATTTTATTATATCGATGTGTTGAGTTATTCTAATTAAAAATCAAATTTAAATAAGTTATTGTGGTTAGAAGGTTAAAATTTTTTAAATAAGCTATTGTGGTTAACAAAATTAAAATTGCAAGACCGATTTTTTGCAATGGATTGAGATAACAATTTTTTATACAAATTTAAACAGTGAACTTGAAACACTCAACAAAGTCAAGAAGAAGGTCGGGTATTCACTTAGTTAATTCTCTCCAATACTTTAGCCACTCGGCGCTCAAGTCGAAGGGAATGTAGAATAAGTTCTAAAATTCAATTGTGTACCTGAGGGCTTAGTTTCATAAGGATATTTATACCTCAACACGTAATAATGTCTCTCTAACCCGGAGTCCTATCCTAGCTAGCATTTAGTAGTCTGGGTTCACCATCTAAGATAATAAATGCTCCCCCATCACTTTTCATTAAAGCTGAGCACTCGGATGCCTGGACTCACCCTTGGGTATGCACGGAGCATCGAAGGCTCACTTCTCGACCATCGAGTGCTCTAGGGAAATACTTAGACCCTATGATTGAGCCATAATGAATAGCTGCTACATGTCCTCAGGAGATCCTGAAGTATCCTCCTTGGTCTAGTTGCCTTTAATGGAAGGCAACGATAACCTTTTGTTACGCTTTTCTATAGAATTGGATTATGATTTGTCATTCTATTATGACTCCCATTAATGACTCATCTTGTAGTATTTAATGCCTGTTAGTAGAAATAATGCTCGCTCTTATTGTTTTACTCGTTCGACATGACTTATTATTTAATTTACACGTGTCTTAATATTTATCTCTAATTTATATGTACCTCAATAATTATTTTTAATTACGTATTAAATTATTATTGGTAATCCGCATAACTTCCTGTCAACTGCCCCTTCTTTTATTTTTACGTGCGGTACGGGATAGGTGCTTTGAGGGGAATGGAGGCCCCGTTATTATGCCTGATTTCTAGGAGCGGCTACTTGCACTTTTGCTGCCCATTTTTTGAATACTCATCAGGTGCATCCGCCCCTTCAGCTCCATTTTCATCACTGAAATAGTATAAAAAGGGGTCTCTTCACCAAACTGGGGACTCTTCTCTCATCTGAAACCTCTCAAGACACCCAAATCTCCCAAACAGTCCCTCAGTAAGGATTGAACGGAATGCAACAACTCTTTCGCATTCTGAAAGCAGATATTTAGTTATGACTACTTGTTTTAGAACTTTTTTGATTTTAAGTATTATAATCATACTTATATTTCATTAAATCATTTTTTTTATTAAATTATTATCATTAAATACACATTTTAAATTCTTTTTTTTTTTTGTAGTACCTAATTACTTCTATCATAAATACTACTTATCATTGTTAGTTTCAATGTATTCAAATATAACAACTCATAACTTGAGAATTGTACTAGCATTAAAATTATTATTTTTATCACATGTGTGTATATGTATAATTCTCAAATAATTTTAATGCTTGCATAATTTCTAAATTAAGAGTTATTAATACTAATATAATTCTTAATTTAAGAGTTATTAGTTTTTTCAAACAAGTTTTAATTAAATATAACTATTAAAAATATTTTGAACAATAGAGACCAAAATAACCTTATTCTTAAAAAAAAAATTGTGTAAACTTAAGTCCAATTAAGTTTTATAAAAAAACAAAATAAATAAATAAAGTCTGAACTTAAATCCAAGTAAGTTTTTTTTTTTTAAAAAAAAAGACCGTCCTGCATAGACCCTTAAAAGAACACGCAAGCATCCTCAAGCCGAGTGAGAGAGAGAGCCCAAAAATGGCCAGTCTTAAAATATGCTACAAACCCTTGTCTCCCATCCGCTTCTCTTCTCTCTCTTCCCCACAAACGCTTATTCAACCCCATAACCATAAAATCTTCACCACCACCACCAACAATTATCAGAAAACTAGAATTTGCTGTTTCAGTTTGCTGGGTCATTCACTGCCAATTGTGAGTGAAGATGGTAGAAAAATCATCAACGGTGATGGAGCAAAGAATAAATCGAGGGAGCTATGGCTGTACAATACGATGACTAAACAGAAGGAATTGTTTAAGCCAAAAGTACCTGGTGTAGTGGGCATGTATGTGTGTGGCGTGACAGCCTATGATCTCAGCCACATCGGCCATGCTCATGTCTAAGTCGCCTTTGACGTCCTTTACGGGTCTCCCATTCTCTCTCCACGCTGTGTGTGTGTGGTGGGCTGTTATCTTCTGCACTTATTTTTGGGTTTTGATACGTTAAATTTAGGGCTAAGCTCAACTTCCCCTTCGAAATATCGCTCAAATTTTAATTTATACCTTCAAAATTTAAAAATATTAATTTAAGATATAAATTGGTATCAATATACACTTGGGCTAACTCTGTCCATTTTTTGTTAAAAAAGTTTGGGATAATTATAAATTATATCCTTGAAGTTTAAATATTTCATATTTATGATCCAAAAAAAATTTCATTTATTAATACTCATTAAATAACTCTCAATTATATTATATTATAATATTAGTTATTGTCTGTGCTTGAAGACACATACTAATATAAAATAGTAAACAATAAACATATTTATATATATATTCAAAATTAAATCACAAATATAGAGAAAAGATAAATGAATTTAAATATTAATTTATAGTGGGGGTGAGAGATGGTGAGCAGCAATGATGGTGGTAAGAGACGGTGATGATTTGTGAATGACAATGACTGTGGTAGTGGTGATAGCGACGACGAAGGCGATTGCAGTGGGGTGGCAATGGCGATGGTGATGGTGAGGGTGGCGACAGTGATGGAGGGGGGTGGTGGTAGGGGTAATGGTGGTGGGGATAGGGGTGGCGGTGATGACAACGACAGTGGTGGTGGCGGTAGAGGCGACAATGGTAGTGATGGCGATAGTGACAACGACAGTGGTGGTGATGGTGGTGGCACCGACGATGGTGACGGTAGTAGAGGTAATGGTGAGACGATTTCAAACATAATTTTTTTAAAAAGTGTTTTATGATAAATAATTTATAAAAGTATTTTTTAAGAAGTTACTCCAAATACACCTTTAGGGGATATTTTTATTAATAAATTTAGGTTGTTAATATTAGCCGTTAGATTAACTTTAAAGCAAAATTTAAAATGATCTGAATCGCGAAAAGCAAAAATCATTTTGTTTATCATTTGAAATTTGAATTGTAAGTTACTTTATTATATAGATATTTGTGTCGTGTTCGAGTCAATAAAAAATATTTTTTAAAATTTAAATTATAAAATACCTATTTTTTGTCTATAATACTCGTTACGTAACAATTTTCTGTTTACAATACTCGTTATGTAACAATTTTCTGTCTACAGGTAGACACAAAATATTTTGATTGTTCGATTAAATTAAAATTATATACAAATAACACAACTGTAGACAAAAAATAGTTATATAACAAATATTATCGACGAAAAATTGATATTT